TGTTCGGGTGAAGCATCGTGCAAAGAAAACGGTACGACTTACCTCCTCATATCAGCTTTCTTGACACCTTCTTGTGCCAGAAGGTCTTCGTACCATTTGACGTTTCCCTTAGCACGAGGATGTGTGGGATCTGAAAATGTATTTGAAGACGCATTTAACTACAAAAAGTAAAGAGTTACAGGAAGGGGACAGGAAGGGGACGGTGACCAAACACCACATAGCAGCCCCTATGGCACATTCGGTCTCATGCTGGAATGTCCAAACCCTGGGTGGTATGTCGCCCAGGTTTCACGACATCCTGATTACTGCTTCATTCCGCTTCACGAGCGTCACAGCACCCCGACCAGGGAAGGGTCAACGCTCGTGAAAACCAGGAAAGCAGTAAACAGAAAAGTTCTCATCAGGCCAAACCCAATCTCCTCCCCTCTGCGACCAGAAGACCGCCTTTGTCAGATTCCGCGATGTACGCTCGACCCTACTTTTGAACCCCTTTTAACTTCCACAGCAGAAGGAAAGGAAAGAGCTTGATTTCAAGAAACATACCGATTTTGACCAGCTCTTCCACCAACTTCAGCGCGTGTTTGAGGTTCCCTTGCTTATAGAGCGAGAATGAGAGATATTCGAGAACCTAAAATATCATCTTATGTACGGTACTGCTACGGCAGCTATCATTAAAAAAGTACCTGGCTCATCTCCGCTGTCAATTCCTTTCCTTCCTCTTCCTCTTCTTCAAGACGTCTCTTTGCCTCCTCCATCCACATGATCGTATGATAGTAATCTCCGTCATTGTATGCCGCTTTGCCGACTTCAAAGCAATCTCCAGCTGGAATGGAGGCTTTCGGAAGTGTTCCAAAAAATGGGGTCCAGGAGGTCTTGTTTTCATTTATTGCAATAGCATGCAGTTCTTGGAATACAATAGCAGATGACTCTTTGCTGATTAGCCTCTGAAGACAAAAGATGACGTATCAGTCCTATATGGGTAGGTGGTTACGCTTTCGATGGGTTTGAGTGGTTATTTTCTACAATGAGGTGAAAATCGTGAGAAAAATGCAACAAAACATAGTTAGAATAACGAATTCACAATCCCTCAGGTGTTGGAAATGAGGTCCTAGCTGAGGTAGGGTATGTGACAAGACAACCCCTTTAAGATGACGCGCTGGGGCCTGACAAGCAACGCACGTCCGACAGACGAGTTGTCTTATCTGGCCGTTTCAATTTAAGCGCTGAAGGGACGAAATAAGCCGGAATCGCCCTTCATGGAGTCTTGTCTAACTTTGAATTCGTATAAGTTTAGGTGCCTCACTCGACAAACTGGTGCACGTCGAGAAGTTATCGCGCATCGCCGCATAATACGAAGCGCGAAGCAAACCACGATTGTCTTGGTCGTCTCTGCTTGAGTCAAAGGGTGAACTGACGTCACCAGCATTCAGACCTAAAAGATCAGATAAAAAGGTACTACAGTAAGCATGGCCTCAGGTGTGATCTACCTGATGTCATGCACGAGTTGTGGGGATGAGTACATCGGGGAGACTGGACGACCCCTGTGCTCCAGGGTAAAGGAGCACCTAGATGGTCTAAGGCGATCTAGGCCAGAGACCCCCTGGGCAGTCATCGGGTTCAGTGCCATGGAGGCGTGGAGTTTGAGGTGACGGTTAGGATTTTGATGCGAGAACCACAGACTTCGGCGCGCAAAACTTTGGAAGCGTTTTGCACTAAAAATTTGCACTAAAAAGCGCTAAAAATCCCAAAATGAACAGAAAGGACGAATGCCTGACCATCACAAACGAGCTCGCCCCGTTTGCTGACCTGTGTGGGCTTCAGTTGCCATCGGCATCAAGTAGAGCGGTCAGGTCAGCTGAAGCCACCGACGGGGAGTCTATTTAGCGGTGGTCTCAAACAAGAACCGGTCGTGCATTAAAGGTGAGTCGTTTGTGGTTGTGTTCTATGACTTTCTGGATCCTACTGGTCTGGGACTAGCTTATCTGAGGTTTGAAATGATTTCCGAGGGTAGTTTCACTTTGATTTTTGACTTTTTTCCAGGCTCTGACGAAGGCGATAAGGCCGAAACGTTAGCCAATAAAACTGTTATATCATCTTGGTCACGGCTACAGCAGTACCCTAGAAAGAACTTCAAAGTATGCCAAGATTCATCGAGGGTCGAAGGCGGGAAGTGTCTTT